GAGGGGTTCTCCACTGAGGCCCAAAGTGAGTCCTCCGGTCTCCCCTCCGCAGATCAACAAGTGTGTGGCCCTGAAACTTTGTGACTTTGGTGAGAGCGGGGACCCCCAGCCCCTCCCTAGCTTCTGGCAAGACATGGGAAGTGGACCTGGATTGGGGCGGGACGTCCTGTGGTTTCCATTGCCTCTCCCACCAAAGGGCGGGAGTTTGAACCTAGGAGACAGGTGCGGGTTGCAGGTGTCCCTGAGTGTCAGAACAGCAACAGGCTGGGCACTGGACTGCTGTGGGGCGAGGGACAGGTGAGGGACAGCCCGCGTGTTTTCCCAGAGAAGTCCCGGACCTTCTCGGAGCGAGAGAGCAAGTTCACCGTCAAGTTCTTCACTCTGCAGTTCTTTGCACACTTCTCCTCACTTGTCTACATCGCCTTCATCCTGGGCAGGTGAGGGCTCCCTCTGCCTTGCCTATTTATTTATTATTTATAAAAATGTTTTGATTTCAGAGAGAGGAAGGGAGAGGGAAAGAGTTATAGAAACATCAATGATGAGAGAGAGTCATGGATCGGCTGCCTCCTGCACGCCCCCTACTGGGGATTGAGCCCCAAACCCGGGCATGTGCCCTGACTGCAAATCAAACTGGTGACCTCTTGCTTGGTTCATGGTTGACGCTCAACCACTGAGCACACTGGCCGGGCTGCTGGGTCATTTTCACTCAACATGCCTCAGTAATCCATCTCTCCTCCGCCTCGCTGGCTTTTCTCTCTCTACTGACGATCTCCACTGTTTCACTCAAAGAATCCTCTCCCCTTTACGTCCAGTTTCTGGTCCTCCCTGTCCTGCTGCTCCCTCCTCAGCGCTGGTTGCTCCCCTCCTGGCTGCTGGCTTTTCCTTCTCCTGAAGTATAAATATCACCAGCCAGAATGAGTGTCTGTTCTAATGCCTCGGGCACATCTCCTGCTGTGTCTCCGCCTGGCTTCGTGGCATCCAGGAAAGGGGGTTAGCTTGGCATCAACTTTGTTCCCTTTTAGCACCTGTCAGTTGAAGTATCTAGTCTTTCAGTTAGTTTATTTTGATTTTCCAGGTACATAATTGCATTTCATATAATTTTTTTATTTGTAAATTTATACTATTCCAGAACTGTGTTAAATAATATTTGTCGTAAACTGTAGTGGGGAGCTTCTCCAGGGTCTCTCCACGAAGCATGAACTGACTTTGGGCATAATTCCCTTTATACGTTTTATCACGTTATGGAAAGTAGGAGATTTAAACATAAAGTAACCCTATGTGCACAGTTTCCGGCAGGGGGGAACTGAGGCCCCTCTTAGCAGGCTTGTCTAGAAGCCGTGTCTGCATGACCGGCGGAGCTTTCTCCTGTGCACGTGGGTATCGTGTCTGGGTGTAAGCTCTGCTCACCTGCAGGGCGGGCTCCTTCCTCTCTACTGTCTCCTGTGTGTTCCGTATCCCCTCTGTCCTCTCACCCCACCCCCACCCGATTAGGGGCAGGGCGCTGCCCTCAGCCTCGCTGTCCCTCCTAGGATCAACGGTCACCCTGGGAAGTCCGTGCGCCTGGCGGGCCTGTGGAAGCTGGAGGAGGTCAGTCTGTCTCGGGTGCCCTGCTGCCCTGTCCGTGAACTGCCCTTCTCCTGGGCCTGACCTCTCATCCCCCCTGCCCCCAGTGCCACCTCAGCGGATGCATGATGGACCTATTTGTGCAGATGGCCATCATCATGGGCCTGAAACAGACGCTCAGCAACTGCATGGAGTACCTGGGCCCGTGAGGACCCTCTTCCCCACCAGGCCCTCCTCCCCATCTCCCACAGCCAACCGCTCCCAGGGGCCCCTCAACCCCGCTCTGCTCCCTACCCCTATCCGGTTCTTGTCGCCCCCAGGTGGCTGGCCCACAAGTATCGCTCAATGCGGGGCAGCGAGTCCCAGGACCCCGAGCTGAGGAACTGGCAGCGCAACTATCGCCTGAACCCAGTCAACACCTTCAGCCTGTTTGACGAGTTCATGGAAATGAGTGTGTGGGAGGGATCTGGGGCTCCGGGTGGGCCAGGGTGCTGGGGCGCTGGGGTGGGAGGAAGCTGGGGGTCCCGAGGCTCAAGGTGACCGCCCCTCTCAGTGATCCAGTACGGCTTCACCACCATCTTTGTGGCCGCCTTCCCGCTGGCTCCGCTGCTCGCACTCTTCAGTAACCTCGTGGAGATCCGCCTGGACGCCATCAAGATGGTTAGGCTGAGGCGACGCCTGGTGCCACGCAAGGCCAAGGACATCGGTCAGGGGCCCAACGGGGTGGCTGTGCAGGGCGGGGTGCTCAACTTGGGCGCAGAGGTGGCAAGGGGCACCGGGACCACGCTATTTCCCCTCCCCACCCCACACAGTCCTCCAGGTCTTCCTGGGTTGTCAGCCAAGATGGGGGTCAGGCCTGGGGGGGCTCAGGCCCCAGGAAAAGGCAGGGCTGGCATGTACTTCACAAGCCCTTCCCTCTTGCCCTGGGACCTGGCTGGAGGGCCTGCAGCCTCCTTGGGGGGCCCAGACAGAGAAGCTGGACTCTGAGAACAGGGAGCTGATGGAGGGAGGGGCCCAGCATCTCACTGAGGTGGATGGGCAAGTGTCAGGGATGAACAGAGAGCTGGGTTCACAAAGTGGGCAGGAGGAGGAACATGTGTGAGAGAGGCCCCAGTCTTGGGCACAGGTTAAAGGGTTCTACCCTCGGGTGGGGAACCCAGAAGGTGGAGCAGGCTTGGGGCATCTGAGGGATTCAGAGAGACAAGGGAGGCAGGGAGACCTGAACCCCTTCCCATCTATGTCAAGGACATGGAGATTGGGAGAGTGAAGGCTGGGCTCTGTTGGCCTTGGCGCAGGTCTCCTCATCAGTGGTCTGGCCCTATGGCTGCGATGGGGTGCCATTCACAGAGATGTGACAAGGCCCTCGGACCATCCAGGCTCTTGGCTTTGAAGGATGGATGGGTGGAGGTGGGGTGGGCTGTAGTGGTTATGGCTTGAGGAACCAGACAGCCTCACCCCACTGCTGTGGCCCAGGGACCTGGCTGCAGGTGCTGGAGACCATTGGCGTGCTGGCGGTCATTGCCAACGGGATGGTCATCGCCTTCACATCTGAGTTCATCCCCAGAGTGGTATACAAGTACCGCTATGGCCCATGCCGAGGGGGGGCCCACTCTTCTGTCGAGTAAGGAGTGCTGCCACACAGCCCCTGGGGGGGCCTCAAACTGTCCAGAGATCCCTGGGAAAACGCCCAACCACAGCCCAGCATGGGGAGCCCAGGGGAAGGACTGGGTGCTGCCAATATTGCCTCTGCACTGACCTGCAGACCCTGGGCTGGAGCTGGGAGTGCTGACTGAGACCCCAGTGGGGCATTAGGTCCCAGAACCAGCTGTTTTCTGAGCAGGCACAGAACACCTCCCCTCCCAAAGTCAGACCCTTTGTGGCCTGCTCCTGCACGGGAGGGCAAAGCAGTGTCCTCACTCAGCCCCTCTAGCTTTCCAGGGGGTCCCACCTAAGGTTCCCCTCAGCCCTTGGCAAGGGAGGCAGATGGTGGCATCCCTGAGCCCCTTCAGCTTCCCCCCATGGCCCCTCTCCCACATAGAGGAATGGTGGGAGTCTGCACTGTGCCCACCCTGGTGACCCTGCCAGACAGGAATTAGCTCCAGGGAAGCACCCCAGAGGCCTGGAGGGGCCACAACCTGCGCTCCAACCTCCATCTCCTCTCCCTGCCCCCCAGCTGCCTCACTGGCTACATCAACCACAGTCTGTCCGTGTTTCACACCAAGGACTTCCAGGACCCTGTCAAGATAGAGGGCTCAGAGAACGTCACTGAATGCAGGTTTGGACCCCACCCCCGCCCCCACGAGTGCCCTCTGTCCTCCTGACCCCTGACCTTAGGTCCTCCCCCACCCCAGGTACCGGGACTACCGCAACGCTCAGGACTACAACTTCTCGGAACAGTTCTGGGTCCTCCTGGCCATCCGCCTGGCCTTTCTCATCCTCTTTGAGGTGGGCCAAAACTGGGGGGCCCTCCTCCCTGCCCCCCAGCCTGCTTGACCTCCCCACTCATCCCCGGTTCCCTCCCCCAGCATGTGGCCTTGTGCATCAAGCTCGTGGCCGCCTGGTTCGTGCCTGACGTCCCGCAGTCGGTGAAGAACAGGGTTCTGGAGGATAAGTACCAGATGCTGCGGGACAGGATGTGCTACGGGGGGTCCAGGCTGCAGTGTGAGCCCGGCTTAGGCCCTGGGGCCACCAACGCCACTCCTACCTCCAGCTCCAGCCTCAAGAGCACAGATGTGTAAGGGACCCAGAGCTGTTGCTGGCACCAGGAACAGAGACTCAGCCACCGCCACCAGCTCACACCCCTGCCTGTGGCTGTGGGGGGAGGATTGTAGGAAGGCTCACGTGTGTGCGGGTGTAGATGAGGGGTCCCAGGGGGCCCATATATATGAAGGGCACTGGGGGGCCCATGTATATGAGGGGGGTCCCAGGAGGCCTGTGTATATGAGGGGGTCCCGGGAGGCCCGTGTATATGAGGGGGCTCCCGGGAGGCCCGTGTATATGAGGGGGTCCCGGGAGGCCCGTGTATATGAGGGGGCTCCCGGGAGGCCCGTGTATATGAGGGGGCTCCCGGGAGGCCCGTGTATATGAGGGGGTCCCGGGAGGCCCGTGTATATGAGGGGGCTCCCGGGAGGCCCGTGTATATGAGGGGGTCCCGGGAGGCCCGTGTATATGAGGGGGCTCCCGGGAGGCCCGTGTATATGAGGGGGTCCCGGGAGGCCCGTGTATATGAGGGGGCTCCCGGGAGGCCCGTGTATATGAGGGGGTCCCGGGAGGCCCGTGTATATGAGGGGGCTCCCGGGAGGCCCGTGTATATGAGGGGGTCCCGGGAGGCCCGTGTATATGAGGGGGCTCCCGGGAGGCCCGTGTATATGAGGGGGTCCCGGGAGGCCCGTGTATATGAGGGGGCTCCCGGGAGGCCCGTGTATATGAGGGGGTCCCGGGAGGCCCGTGTATATGAGGGGGCTCCCGGGAGGCCCGTGTATATGAGGGGGTCCCGGGAGGCCCGTGTATATGAGGGGGCTCCCGGGAGGCCCGTGTATATGAGGGGGTCCCGGGAGGCCCGTGTATATGAGGGGGCTCCCGGGAGGCCCGTGTATATGAGGGGGCTCCCGGGAGGCCCGTGTATATGAGGGGGTCCCGGGAGGCCCGTGTATATGAGGGGGGTCCCGGGAGGCCCATGTATATGAGGGGGCTCCCGGGAGGCCTGTGTCTGTGAGGGGTCCTGGGAGGCCTATACATATATGGGGGCATCAGCGAGCAGCACACTTATCTGTCCCATCTGTTAGGGCTCAGGCTTGGCACAACCTTGACTTCAGTTCTGGGTGCACATTGCCACCCATACAACTCGGGGGGGGGGGCTTCTTATGCAGTCACAACACGGGAAAATCAGCCCTTGCAAGGTGTCCCTCTGACTTCTGGGCCCCATGCTGCCCCACCCCCATCCTGGCTGGCCAGGGGCCCGACCCACCTCTCTGACTCCCCTTAGCCAGCATAACCTTTTATAATAAAATAAAACCTCTTTGTGTCAACTTTTGGGCCCCTGGTGGACGGTGCCTGCCCTCAGGGCTAGATGGGAAACTGAGCCGAGACGGGGAGAGGTCCGGCTGGGGTAGCCTCCTCTGCGCTCCCACGAGCTTCCACGTGAGCAGTGCTTTACCGGGGTCCCGTCCCCCCTGCCCCTGGGATTTAGGGGCTGGGGTCAAGGCGGGCTTCCTGGAGGAAGAGGAGGAGCTGGGGAGGAGGCGCAGAATCCCGAAAGACGGCCCGGGGGATGGCGGGATCTCCGAGGAGTCCCTCGGGGCTCCGACTCTCCGGGCTGGTTGGGCGGGTCTGACCTCTGCCCCCGGGCCCGGCCGCAGAGCGCTAGACGGTCCTGAGTGCCAGCCTGGGGCGCACAGCGGGACGCTCGGGCCCGCCCTCCTCCCTGGGTGCGGGGCGGGGCTGCACCTGCCGCCGCCGGGGCCGCC